ATACATCTTTGTACATATCCTTGTTTTGAAACATTCTTCAAATTATTTTTAGAAGTATTTTATTCAAGTCTTGCCGATTTGATTTGAAGATCTCGCATTCCTCGTATAATTTCTTCCATCCCTATATCTCCTTTCTTTGATAAAGATGTTGAAGGTTGAACAACAGGCATCATTGGTCGAGTTGTATGTACTTGAATTTTAGGTGCTTGTATTTTTTGAAGAATATTATTCCTATCCTTCTTTCTTTCTCTTTTTGCAAACAAATCCACCACACTTTCAACATTTTTCCACTTTGTTGTCAATCCTTCATCTTCTTTTGTGTCTTCAAGAAGCAACTCCAATTTCTCTTGTAATTCTCCATCAGCAGCTTGGAGAAATAATTCAACCTCCTTCGGCTCTAATGTCAATTTTTCTACCTTCGATAATTGAGAGTACTGCCTCTCAAACTCTCTTAGTAGCTCGGTTGCTTGTAAATTCTTATTAGGCCACTCAATCCATTCTAGAAATAGTTTCTTAGTAACACGATCACTGTCCTCCAAGAAATATTCATCTTTTAATGCATGCAAAAAAAATCTCCCATGAATTTCTATAATGATCCATAATCGAAGTAATATGTTCTCTTATCTTCGGTATCGCGGCAAGTCCAAATAATTCAACTATCTTCTTTTCAAAAACCCAATTTAATTCCATTTTTCAAACATAAAATCTTAAATACCTTGAAATATCCCTTCCATCAAATTGATCAATTTTATTGACCATTGCTTGCAATGCTTTGGTTGCTAAAGCTTCCTTATGATCATTGCTTTGCTATTGCTACATAGATAATGATAAGGCTTGAAACATACTAGCAATGGACGGATCCATGTACACACCTTGTCCTTAAGAAGAAACTCTACCAGAAACTCCCTCAAAATTTTTAATCTCATTTTTCATAAAAATAAGGATGAATATAAACAAATTCTAATACCTCCTACCTTAAGCTTTCACGTCGAGTTCACCACTAATGTCATATTACATGAAGTCTTGCTTGAGAATGCACTGGGCACCTAGCCGTAGAAGGTAAAAGAAAATTACAACAAAAGGTCCAATTAGTTGATGACCTCAAAATTCTGCTCGGATGTCGGCCAGCCTCTCCTTCTCCAATCTGATGCCAAACTTCCAGCACCAATATCTCTTTTTTCCACCGTTCGATTGCTTCTAAATTTTAATTGCATATAGGAAATCAATACTTCTACTGATAAAACCAAAAATCTCCCCAATCCAACTGGTAGATTGCTAGATATCTAAAAAAACCTTACTCGTCTTCAAAACCCTAAATCTCGAGACTTTAGCTCACAAAACCTTCATATGTATCGATCTAGCCATTCGATTGACCTCAAACCTCTTGTACACATTCACAACAAGCATACCAATAAGTTTCTAAATTTTTATCCATAAAAATGTTACAAAATCATGAAATCCAAAAAATTTGTAAACCGGTTTTATTTCTTAAAGATCTAAAATCACAGAGAACATCACTCACTTTGAAAATCCCTCAAAATCCAATACTGATCCAAAAAATACGAAATCACCTCTCCCTCCCAAAATTCCTCTACAAGTCTGCTCCCTTCATTCAGCTCTTCGATCTCCTCCAAAATCCCTCTGCCTATCTGTCCCCTCATTCTTCTGCCTCAGTCTTTTTTTTGAATTGGTCCACCTGATAGAGCTTTTTTTTTCCCCCATGCGGTCCAATTCTCCCGACTTTGACTTCCTGAATTGGTCCAGCCGACGGAATAGCTTACTCCTCCATGCGGACTAATATCCTCCCGCCATGGACTTCCCAAATTAGTCCAGCCGATGGAACAGCTTACAACTGAGCCGAAGTCTCCGTATTGGGACCTCATTTGGTTGCCAACCGAGTCAGGTCTCATACTGGATAAGAGGCCATAACAAGACCTGGGTTGGACATCTCCATAATTGGGTGAGATTGGCCCTTCACATCAAGCTCATTCAATGTTGAATTAGTCCTTTCTCCTTCTGCTGACTCCTGTTATTGGAATTAAATGAAGCATTTCATTATTGGTAAGTATGCCCTGACTGACTGCGACGGAGAGATAGTATCTGGCCCTTGAATATTGGCATTGGAATTGGCCGCTACTACTAATATTCAAGATGACTAAATATTAATAAAAATCTTCTTTCTTTGTATTTTCACCATATAGTCGTATTACAACACGACAACGCTTTATAAATGACTCTACAAGTCAATTTTGAGCATGTTCATATAGAATATAATATATCAACTCAATTCCTGCTGTAGTACAATAGTCTTCAAAAGACTTTGATGTGAATTCTTTTGCATTATCCATACGCAATGTTTTTGTAGGATAATCAGGAAAATGTGCCCAAAAATGAATAAGCATATATATAAGATTGGCAAACACCATGTTTCGAGTTGATAATAATAAAACATATGATTTTTTACTTTATACATCAACAACGACTAGAAAAATAACGAAATGGTTCTAATATTGGATTAATAGGACCACAAATATCACCATACAATCTTTCAAGCATTGGTGGTAATTCTTGTGGGAGTTTCCAAATTGAAGGTCGAGCAATCATTTTGCCTTGCACGCATGCACGACATAATTCCATAAAGTTTACATCCGCAGGCTTTAAATTGTGCCCAATTATAGATGGGATAATCTTTCTAAATAATGTAGATCCTGGATGTCCCAATTATCCATACTAGAGAGAAATATGACTCTTTGTGATAGATGATGCAAAATTAAATATAATGGGAAGCAAAATCATAATTCGATATAAACCATTTTTTGTAGCAAAAGCTTTTTCAACAACTTTATGGTTCTTCGCAAGAACCCAAACCTCTTTTCTATTTAAAATGGCGGTCGAGAGGTGATAACCATTAATACATACATCTCAGTAGCTGATCAGACTTTGAGATGCTGAGGGTGCAAACATCGCATGTTTACATTTTATGATGGAATTCGCAAGTAATTATACCATTGCTATGCCCTCTTGGAAACAAAATGCATTTGCTCTAGCCATGGTTATCATATTTTTAGTTTGCCAAGTTGAAGATTTTTCAATAAAAAATCATCTATCTTGCAAAATAGTATGTGTTGTTGCAGAATCAATGAGCATATCATTTGATTCATCATTAGAGGTTTTGTCATTCATATAAGCCTCTAAGTCATCAACATGAATTGAATCCATCGACACATCCATGGTATGAACTTCACAAGCCTCAGCTCATAGTTTCTTATTTTCTTGGAATATTTTAATAAAATATTCTGAAGTACGACATGCATGTGCTAAATGTCCAATCATTCCACACTTATGGCAAGAATACATCTCTAATTTTTGTTATCTATTATAATTAATAGTAGAATATTTATTCTTTCCATATGGGTAGAAATGGTCATGACTATGACTACCTTGATACTTACAATCATGTTTTCCATGTTTATATAATTTTTTCTTAGACTTTGAAATATTAATTGCTTGAGATTCTGGAACTGTAGTTCCAATAAGATGAGCTTCCACATTGTGCAAGAGTAGCTCATTTTGCTTCTCCGCAAGAAGTAGATAGGATATGAGATCAGAATGACTCTGAAATTTCATGTTCCTATATTATTATGCAAGCACAGCAGATATATAAGGAAATGTAGAGAGATTTTTTTCAATCATTTCTTCTTTAAAAATGCTTTGTCTACATAATCGTAATTGTGAGACAATACTATATATTTTAATATGGAAAGCATTTAAATTTGGAAAATCCAAGACATGTAAATATATCCGATTATGACGTGCACGTGGAAGGAAAATAGTCTTTTGATGATCAAACTTGGATTTAAGATTCTTCCAAAGTTTTGCAGGATCTTCCATTTCCAAATATTGATGTTGTAATGCAGGTACAAGATGACGACGAAGGAGAAGAAGTACTTTCCAACGAATAGTAGGAAGAATAGAAATACTTATTATAAGAGATTCTTCAAACATAATAGCATTCTAGAGTTGTTCTGCAAATAAATTTGCTTTTGTCATTTTTGCCCATAATAGATAATTGTTTCCATCCATAGTCAATGGTGGAAATAAAAGAGCTTGAAAATGTTAGGATACATTGGTAATAGTTGAAACCATAGTAAAAGCAGTTGAAGATATTAAAGCACTCATTATAAATAAATCTGTAAAAAAAATACAAGATCAAGTAGAAAAGTTGAGTAAAACGTATCTCAAAATATAAAGTCAAATAAAATAATAAACTTGGATTTGAAAAATAAAAATATTGATTATTTATTTATTTATTTAACAAGGTTATAGATTAAGGCAATAGAACAGCAGTAAAATGGCGGCAACAGGCAGCAGCGGGCGGCAGTGGTAGGGTGGCAGGGTGTCAGCGGCGGCAAAGTAAGTGGCAGGGTGGCAATGGCGAGTTTGGCAGCAGCTTGGTGGCTGTTTGGTAGCATGTGCAGGGCGTAGCAGGGAGTAAGCTGGGGTGGAGCTGAGGTGGATCAAGTATTCTAAGCAAGCAGGGCAGAGAGTGGAACAAGTGCTCTAAGCAAGCAGCTAATGTGTGAGGGGCCAACAAGAAGAGCAACAAGATCATGAGGGAAACATTGAGCAAGAGTAGCAACAGGTTTGAAGAGTCAAGACTAGAGCAAAAAAAAATGTGATAGTATGTAGAAGAGAGTTGTGCTCATAACGTGTTGAGAATGTTTAGAAAGACACAAGAGTAATAGTATATAATACACACATATAAGAGTAGTAAGTCATACACATAAGAGGGTTTCTAAGAAGAAAGAGCTTCATACACAAAAAAATCTATTGATCTAGTTGTGTCTTGTATACAAGAAGAGAAAGGGGAGAGGATAAACAATACTTCTCCACTAGACTCTAAATGCTATAACTACAATATTTAGTGTAGTCTATAATAAATATTATGGAGAGTGCTGGCTACATTTAATGATCTCAACAAATTGAATAGTATTTGGTTGTATTTTGCTTAGTTTGTTTATTACTTGTTTCCGAAGATCTGAATTGTTTTACATTTCTAAGTTGTGCAAAAGTGACTAGTACACTACAAAAGTTGCTTGAAAAGATCACGATAAATTCTTACACAACATATAAAATAGTGATCACATGTTTGAAGATGCTATTGCTTCTCAGCTTGCAAACTCGGGCAAAGAGCTCTGCACAGAAATGGAGCTGATCAGGTATTTTTCTAGAGCTGATGAAGAGCTACTGATAAATCCTTGAGCAATAGCATTCAACACCAGGAGAACAAAAATGAGGAAAGCAACCCCATGCATGTGCCATGTCACAGAATGCCCAAGTGAAAACTGAAAATAGCCCATTATAAAGCATTACAAAGACCACATTGGAATAACACACTACAAAATTACAAACACAACGTGAGTTTCAAATCTGCAGACAACGTTCTAGTACACTGAAGCAACAAGAGATCAAGTGCAGGAGGAATCATGTAAATCTTGTGAAGCAGCCATGCTAACCTGAGTAGCATTATTCCAATGTTATCAAATGTCTTCAAATGGTTTCACTAGTTTACAATCGGTGTATGGAACACTACTTGTGCTTGTGCTATAAACACAATGGGGTACAACTTCGGACAATGAGGATTTATGTAATCCCTGAGGCGTTAGGAATCAAAAAGCTAATTTTCCTCCAGATGTCTTCGTCAGCAAAGATGAGCCCTGTCTATCGTCTTGTCCTTCTGCTGTGAAGTCTACTTCTCCAGCGCTTCTTTCAGTGTCTGGCTAGGCTTAGAAGGAGGCATGTCTCATCCAGGGGATGGGTGCATGTCAAAAGCGCAAACAGGATTTAAGAAAATCAGAATGAGAAGAGTAATGAAACAAATCTTTCTGCCACGGGGCGAATAACAACCGAACCCCGCAATAGATTCAAGTGTACATATCATGAAGAATCTCTGCAGTAAAACGCAGTCACTTCATCTCTTTGATCTGTTCTTGGCCGCATATGAACGATGCCTAACTCGAGCTTGGAAGATAAGCAAGAAACTTACACTTCCGCAGCTTTTACATGTCTCCCTGTCAAATGCTTGGCCTTGATCGAGTGACGTAATTGTCGCTCTACCATCACTCCAATCAGCGATGAACATAAAAGCATGCTCCCGCAAAGAGGGAAAAAAAATGGCTATTTCTCCACCAGGAACTCTTGGATTTGAATACCGGTGTGGCGTGCTTCTTCTTGCAAGCTTAAAAGAATCTTGTCTCCTACTTTTAAACTCGTAACGGGAAGTGCTTTGGAAGCCTTCTCACCTGGACGGATGCACACGAATCAGTTTCTAGAGATTCACATCACTATAGGATAGTATTCTTATTCATTCCACATCACAAGCAATTCAATCTAAAAACGAAAAGGGGGCTGTTAATGTTTCAAGCCTCACCTCCAGGTCCAACGAGACAGACAGTTTCTGCATTTTGCAACAGCACGCTCTGCTTTTGCCCATCCACCTCCACCACCACCAGAAGCAGAGGCCTTGATTCAATTTTCACGCGCCCAACCAAGGCAGTCCGAGAGTGTCCCATTGCGTCCACAACCATGACCTGACTGCCAGTATGGAGCTCAGAAAGGTATGCTGTGCGGCCACCAGCCATACCAACATATGCATGAACTGGCCCCTGTCGTATAAAGTACAGAACACGTCAATGAGGAGGGTTCAAGTGAACCAAAGTAAACGTCATCCGAACCATCGGACTGAAATTTGAATGGTTTAAGCGACTTACAGCATTCACTCGGAATGGTCTGGAAGCCACGTAGTTGCTCTCCAAGCACTCTGAGTGCACCAAGAAGAGAGCTCTTGCAAAAGATCCCACCTGCATAGAGCAGATGTAATTTTAGAAGGTAAGTACCACAGAGAATCATCCCTGAAATCGTTGAAAGACACCAAACAGAGAGAAGACTGCTGAAGATTTTTAAGTTCAAGAAAGGCAACTTACCAAGAGACCCTCTCCAGCGTTCAATAGATTGCATAGGTCAACGCAAACACGATCTCCCATACCAACAGATTCTATTTGGGTGACTGTCGCCTCCACCAGAGCCACTCCCGTTGATGAATCCTTCTTTTCTTTTAAATATGCCTGTATCGATTGCAAAAATTGCAATTATAATTGTCAGCATTCAAGTTGAGCATTACGAAAGGTCACATCGTAAACAGATACGAAACATACTCAGGAGCTGGAGCCAATATAAATTACGACCATGGCAGTAGATTGCATCAGAAAGCTTGACTGCACCTTCTATGAGCCAAGAATCTCTTACCTTGAGAGCAAATACTTCAGAAATATCGTCAGTTTGCAAGACAACTCCATCAGTGCCCTTTTCAAGAGCTTCAAGATAAACCTGAGCATCAGTGGCAGTGCTCGCGGTGGCATACAGAGCTGTTCTACTGTCCTGGAAGGCTGCCACCATATTCTCAGCCGGAATGATCTGGTGACCTCAACACAGAAGTATAAAATTTTAGTCTCATGCCCAAAAAAACACCTAATATATTAGAGACCAGTTGATGCTCAACTCCGGCAAAACACTTCCAACCAAAGAAATATTTGCTAACAGTTTAGAATAGACTTTGAAACAGCGACAAAAGAGCCCGAGAGTGTCCAGAACGCAGATGAAGACAAGTAAAGCCTTATGAGATCAACCTGCCAGTCAAGAGCGTTCATCACCACGATCTCAGATTTGCCTATTAATGAGGGAAGGCTCTCGAGTTGTTCGCCAGAAGAAACTTGTCCAAGAACAGCCACTTTCTTCTTCTCCGAGTTAAAAAACTGGTCATTCTCCAGGTAGACAGGATCAATTTTCGCAAGAGCTGTAATGCATAATTGGAAAGTCAGTGGCTTGATTTTCAACTACCGATTCTCTTGTACTCGGCAATGCAGAACAACCAATGCAGTCAAGAAAATGGAGTGGGTTTGCACCATCCAGCTGACGCTTAGTGGTGTCCGAAATGCACAATTCCAAAGCAACCGTTAGGGGTCGACAAAACGGAGGAGGGGCCTACATGTCCATTCATTAGCGAGGCCCTTTGTCTCAGGGGTGAAAACAAATGTTGACCACCCGCCTTCGACAGAGGCTGTCATCACATCCTTGCTCTTGGTCCATACCCACACTGTCTTGGTCGTTGTTGCATGTCGCATTCCAGCCTGCGCACTTCCCACACGTCCTGAGGACGTCCTTGAAATTGGACTGCCGCCTGAAATCGTTGAGGTCGCTCTAGAGAGTGTGATGCTTTTATCTGAGCCCGTGCGCAATATGAGTCCTGAAACTACCAGAATAGATGACAAGGTTAGATGGCTATTCGAAGTAACACACTCTGTTGATGAGGCAACACGAGCGGGCCACAAATTCAAAACCTACTACAATGCCGAAAGAGACTAACAGCCAAACCGCGAGGCGAGCTAATCAGGTTCCAAACTTGACTTGGGCCTACATCTGTTCTGTAAATAGGAGCTACCAGGGAACGTACACAACACAATGGCGTAGTTTCGGTGGGTACAGGCCAATGTGGCTCAAACGTAAACATCCAAAGCGAAGCCCTAGAGTAATGTAGTCGACTCGGGGCAAGAAATTCACTAAATTGGTCCTTAAGATCGTGTGTTTGTCCTAACATCCTAATCCAAAACCTTGACCACTCTTCCGAATGCGAGGCTGAGAAAAGAGCAGTCGTGTCACCGTTTCTACCCAGGGGCTATTACGAATTTCAATACGAAAATTCACACCTAGTGAAATTGAGGAGTAATGCTTCCCACAGCTTGCCCGACTTAAAATTTCACTCACCAAATGGTATCGGGGACCTGACCCAAGTTGCCATCCCAAACGCCTGCATAACTCCTAATAGGCGAACCCGCCCTCTCACCCTTACAAACCACCTTGACTCCTCCCAGCACTTCAAGACACTTGTGATAACCTCTCCTGAGACGTCCCAGAAAAAATGCAAGTGCGAAAGGAGGATAATAAGCACTCAGAATCGATTGGCCCAAAGAGAAGCTCAGAGTGCTTTGAAGAAACAGCTACGTCAAGCCCTGGACAACTTCGCAAACTGCAACACGACTTCACAATCCACTATCTGGCACGCTTTCGACAGTGCCCTGTCCTGGATGCTCGAAACCATCCAGTCTCGCTTAAGCACCACAAATATCGGGTAACAGCGATTAAAACGGTGTTTTACGTACCTGAGTTGGGTTGTGCTCCTTTGTAGTTCGGGGAGAAAGTAACTCCCCAGATCAAAAGTGGAGTGAACACAGGCAAACTGCGCGGGGTGAAACAAAGCTACCCTACACATAGAGTTTGCTATTTTAATTATATAGGGATATTCTAGGCACCTTTTCATGCGTTAACAGGCTAAGTATATCGAAGAGAGTTAAAGAAAGGATCATTCCCCTAAATAAAGATTTGCAACTTTGAGAAAGATACCCTCGAACTTACGATTTGAAGGATGCGAGTTTGCGGGGAGACTGCTCGACCTCTTCAGAATGTCGTCATTTAGCAACCACTTTCTTGCGCCAAGCCAAGGCAACGGCAACGGCAACGGCGCAGAGTCCTTCAAGGAACCCGATATCGTAATGGGCGACTCGTTCGAGTCATTCGACTCACGTGTTTCTGTATCTAAGTAATGAAGCAGACTGGCGTCGCGGTCACCAAGTGCCCCGAAATCGATGGAAAAAAGATCGTCGCAAGACTGGGTGTCGGAATGATGCGAGCTACTGGAAGTGCTAGTGCCAGTGGAGGCCATAGAAACTTGCTTTGACAATCTGCCATTTGATTCTTTCGAAATGTGGTTGAATGAGGTGGATGACATCGACGATCCGTGCATTGAGGAGCTTGAGAACGATAATTTTGACAGACTAGGATGCGCGCTTACGAAAGCAGTGCTTAGCGTGTTGAACGGAGTGGAGCCGCTGCTGTTTGGCTGCGGCTTGGGTTTGCTCAAGGCGAACGAGCGTATGCTTTCCACCCCCCCTGAGGAACGAACACGGCTCACGAAGCACGTCAAATTGTCAATGAAAAATTTCCTCTCCTTCTTGAATGTTTGGTCTACAACGACATGATATGCACCCGTGATGCGCGCTTCCTCAACCACGATGTTTTTAGGGTGAATACCCGCGCGCACATCGATCGCCAACTGCACCTGCACCCATAGCTCGCACTCGTAAGCTCCATACCGAAATGGGAAAGTGAAACAACTCGCTTCTAATGTGCTCAAGTTGCGAAGATGTAGGAGTAGAGTACCTCGGCCTTCTCGCACCAGGTGCTAAGCTCGGGGATGTTCTGCAGCTTGACGCGGTTAATGGCAATCTCATTCTCTAAGACCTTCTTATTTGTTCCTATCCAAGACTTTTCGTCCACATGGCACTTGTATCCCACTGCAACCAAACAGCGCGAACATAAACTTAACATTCGATAACAATCCTCAGTGTATAAACAACTTCACCATCCTGCACTCTAAACTTTGAAGCGTCGTTCTGGAGCGGTCAAGAAACTCAATAGCAAGGCGAAACAAACAAGTTCATGAAGAGTATGCGTTCTCCTGGGCTGTGCAGGAATGATAAACCGCAATGCGATACCACAAAACTCTGTACGCTTTTGGTTGTTGATTGAACTTACGTGGATTGAGGATATGGGTTAGAACGCCAACAATGCGGAGCACGTCGCCCTTGCGTGCGACATTCCTTAGGGCCCAAACCACAGCGCTGTTGAAAGTATTCTGGCTCACATCCACCACCACCAATACCACTCCCTGGGAATCATTCAGGTCTCCCTTCTCCAACGCTCCCAAATCCATCGAACCCATTGATAATCGCTGCTCTCTAAGATTCCAAAGCTCTTCGGTTATCACACTCACTCTATGTATTTTTCCTGACGAACTGTTTTCTACCGAAGGACTTGAAGGAATAGTACGTATTCTGAACAGGCATCCGACCAGGTCTGGTTCTGGTAAAACCATCGATCGCGGAGCCTAATGGCCTCTGTAATCAAAATAGCAATGAGACATGATCCTGGACTCCAGGGCCTCCACAAACCACCAAAGAACTTCCTAATACCAAACTGAAACAATTGCGCAATCTGAGCAGGCTGTGGACAATTGATCAGTCGGCCTGCACAAAAATTGATAGTCGAGGTCTCATCTTCATATTCGACAGTTCACGGCGGAATGCATCTAGGACTACCGGCACCTAAGGATAATCTCTTTGGCCGAATCAGATGGAGGATGAACCTATCTGCAAACCGGCAGTGCAAGCATCGGGGAAGGATCTTGAAGGGGGAAGAAGGCTCTTGAAGAGCGGAGGATCACACAGAGATGTCACCCAATGCCTCGGTAGAATAATATTAAACTAGTTGTATCCACCGTGACTAGTCCACTGCTCGTTCCGGCCTCCAGAATTAGATCCAGTACCTCGAAAATGTTCTCATTCCCGCCTCGATGTTTATACCTTTCGATCCTCCGACACTCCAGGCAGCACCGCGATCGATGTGGAGATGTATTCGTGGAACACTTTTTTTTCGGCGAAGAAGGTTCTCGCTGATGAGGAAGGCACCTTTATGCAGCCACGTCATGGTCATTCTCAAAGGGGTTTCGCACCGACGCAAGAATCGAACGGATTATGCTCCTTGCACAAGTGCCAGAACCCCCGATGCGCCCAAAGAAAGCAAATGAGGATAGTAGGTGGGTGCCGAAAACCATCGTCAAATGGCTCCATTGACTTCCCGCTTTGACCAGCAGCGGCTCCAGACACAATCTGGCCCAGGACGGGAGGAGCATCGGATACGGGGTAAGACAATCCCATAAATTCCAACGCCAACTCCAACATATTGGGAGCTGGGAGTCGAGTCCATCGATCCAACTTGTACAGCCCACCTCACACAAGATGAATGGCAGCCAATCACGAGAGGAGGAGGAGGAAGGGAAGAGCGCGATGTGTGCATCATCAGCCAGGAGGGCTAGAGCTATCGACGCAGTGGTAACAGTCATTAGATGGGTAGAGGGACCCAAGGGAGCAAACGCAACCGAAGATAAAAAAAACTCTTGCACGCGCGCTCCGAGGCGCGGGTCCGAATATCCTCAGAATATACTTTTGCGACAAATATAGCAAAAAATATGGTGCGGAGAGGCCAGGTTGGGGTCGTCGCACTACAGAAAAAGCCCAGATTTTTTTGCTCGCGAAATCTTTCGACTGCGAATCCCGGTTACAGGCCACGCAGCTTCACTGTTGTGGGGTGATTTCTCCGAAATGGGTGCCCTTCCCCCCACTCAACTTCGCGAACGCCACTCAGATCGTCGCACTTCCAGGGAGAGGGCTACAATCCACCGCGTATCGATTGCAATGCTGGTTGTTGTTATTATTCTTCGATGCGATCGCAGCCACCACGATGCGGGATTTCCAAGGCTGAGATTCACGAAACGGCGTCGGCGCTTCCAGTTCGGCGCATTCGAACTGCGATGCTTGAGTCCTGCAAGGTATGACACTTTTCTTCTCTTTATTTTTCTTTTATTTTTCTTTTATTTATTTTTTTTTTTTTCCCCATTGATTCCTCTTTAAAAGACTATGTTAGTGGTTGTGGAAACAATAAGCTCTGTAGATTACTATTACAACCTTTAGAGAATCAAGGAATTTAGGATTTTAAACAGGATGTTTAATATAAGAATTTATTAACCTTAAATAAAATTTAAGGCTTTTGGATTTCAACAATGAACTCAGCAAAAATTGTTTGGTTGAACATGAACCACATTTACAAAACATCACGTAATGTTATTCGAATACTATATGATATGCTTGGAGCAATTTATTTCTTCAATATATCATTTTCAAGTCTAAAATTCTTTTTGTATATGTTTTCAGTCAAGTCTTTTAAAAAATGAGAATAAATAAAACTTTAAAAACTGCATGTAAAAAGTGAATATTTATAACATCTCTAATAATAAAAAAAAATTCAAAAGGACGTAAAATAAATAGTTAAAATAAATGAAAGTTGAAAAATGACTGTAGATTGCTTTTAATATTAATATTAATACAATATATCTACAAAGTACAAGGTTTTACTTCATCCGTCATATATATGTATATATATATATATATATATATATTTATATATTGAACTAAGAATGCGTTAACTTTTTTCTCACTGATCTATCTCTAATTAATCCAAAACATTAGATAAAACAACCATATATAGGGATTTGGTGAGTTACATCGAAAAGTCTTCTCTGTTGTTGCAATCCTTTCCTAAGCACATTAATAATGAAGGCGAAATATATTAATATTACCACAGTAATTGCAATAATGACAAAAGAATGATCAAAACATATTGCTATGCAGAAATGGAACCGCTGATTTTTGTACAAGACTGTTAAGGCTCTTTTTCCACTAGAGCTCCTACATTACAGAACATTTACCCTGCATAGTATTTAATTTTATATCTTGTATTACGAATTTGATTTTATCATATTTCAAGATTTAAGTTTAATTATTTTTCAAACTAGAAACCATTTTTTGCCATAGATATAGATATATATATATATATAATTCCTTATGTACTACCTCATTAATGTTGACATCATTCTTTTGAAATGAAAAGATTTTAAAATCATGGCTCAATGAAGGTATTCATGCACATATGCATGTATAAATTATCAATTTCTAATCTAGACAAAAAATTTAAAATGTATTCAATGAATCTTTTTGTTGTGGAAAGTTCTGATTAATAATCTTCACATTAAAAACGTAACAAGTTTGCAAAAAGTTGGAAAGAGAGGTCCATTAGAAGGGTGTGGAGAAGGGTTTTGAGTTACCATTGAAATGAGAATTCCCAATAAAAGGTTGACAGAATGAATCCTACTAGAATGTTACAAAGAAAAGGTGGAAGATATTCAATAGATGTTAGAAAATTTGTGCAGTTGGTAGAAATGTGATATAAATTGTAGAATATATATATATATATATATATATATATACATTAGGTGCTCTTTTATTCTTTTACAATTCCTTGTTGATATATATATATATATATATATATACATTAGGTGCTCTTTTATTCTTTTACAATTCCTTGTTGATATATATATATATATATATATATACATTAGGTGCTCTTTTATTCTTTTACAATTCCTTGTTGATATATATATATATATCTATATCTAATCCTATATACAAGTTTTTTGTTGTTATAAGTTGTTATGTGTTGTATATGCTTGTATGTGTACAGTGTATATATAAATATATATATATATATATATATATAATCGGAGTCTGTCCTTCAAATTTGATGACTGGTTAAACTTTTCTGCCTGTGTGTGAAGTTTGTTAATTGGATGGATTTTTGAGAACAATAGCAAATTGTTGGTTGATGAAAACTAAAACGGGCATTACAGGTTTGCAATTTCTCAAAATTTATTCTGAATTCTAATTTACTAGGTAATTCTTATAAAATGAAAATTAAATCATTTTCCAATTAAATTTACCAGGAACCAAAACTCTTATTTAATGAAAATTTATTAATTTGCAAACACTTTGTAAATACTTTGCAAATACTTTGCAAAGTGTTTGCAAATATCTATAAACCAAAATGAAGAAATTGTAACCATAGACCATTCAGAATTATGTAACTATTGTAAATAATACCAAATTCCTTTTGTTCATGTATGGTTTTAAAAAATATACAATGAATACATAATAAAAAATTATTATGTTTGTAAATGAAAAGGTTCTTTGTCATGAAAACAGGCATGGAAACCACTCAGCAAGCTAATGATCTTTGAGCCCTTAATGTTTATTTTTATTAATATGCTCATGATCTTTGAACTTAGCCTGATATAAAATTTATTTATGGAACAAATCTTGATATTTTGAATGGAAAATGGAAATATGAATAAATTTCATTTGATATTTAAATTGTGATATTAAAATGATATAATATCAAAATATAATAAGGTCTTAAAAGAGAAATTTTTATTTCAAGTTGGGTAAATCCTGCCATTATTCTATGCAATTGTAACATTGTTCAACAATAACATAAATTAAAATAAACTGAAAAAAAGAAAAGAAAAATTAAGAGCGTTTGCATTCAGTTTTAAATTTTCCATTTAATAAAAATACCGAATAAAAATTAAGTAAAATAATAGAGGTAGTAAAGAAGAAGTAAAATATATATTAAAATTTCAAAGGACATCTATATATATGTATATATACTTCTTCTTCTTCTTCTTTTCTGGTGCATCCTATAGATGGTTTATTTTTTTAAAGAAAAATATAAAGTTATGAAAAAAGAACTAAATTTAGTTGGAATATAATAACCATAAAATTTCTTTGGGTGCTATCCTGGCTTGCAAATAAGTTGGCGTAATTTCGTCAAATCATTGTCCTTGCTATAACAAAAAACAACAAATGTTTTTTGCAAAATCCTTGGTGCAATATTCTTTGTGTATAATTGAAATTTCACATAGAAATACAACAAATTGGCTTTTTCAAAAGCACTTCATATTATAAATGATAATTCCGTTTTTGCTCAATTAATTTTTTTTTGGCAGTGATAAAATTAGGTCTGGAATGACATTGTTAAAGAAACATAAGAAAAGAAAAATCCTAATCCAGAATCAAACATCACATATTAAAAATGTTAAGAAGATATGGCACATAGAACAAGAGTGCCAAGTTTTTTCTATTATTCAACTAGACATTTGAGAACCTCTTTAAGTATTTCACCCCATGAGAACTATCTACACAAAATATATTACATTTGCCATAAAATCCTAAAAATAGAAAAGTTTTTAAAATACTTAATCTCCAAAAGAAAGTTAGATTTAAAAAATTATAAATTGTATTCATCTTATACTAGGAAAACATATTTTATTACACAATGTTTTATTTTTTTGTTTATTTTCTTTTGTTTTAGTGAAGCATGAACATGGTGTTACAAACATCATGGAATGTGGCAAGAAATCCCAGCACTTGACTTCCCTTTAATTGGCTACAAACAGATTTGTTGTAACTTGACCACTGCCCAATCTAGATGACACAAAGATCATTATTTTCCTTTCAAAATCATGGATACATTTACTTTTTAAAGTATTTGAATCTCTTATTCCTTTGGATTCCATGAGTGAAATAAGGACCAAGGGTTGTTCCATTTCTTATACAAAAGTCCCATCTATATATTAAGATTGTTCAAGGAGACAAGTGGTGGCTCTCCTTCATTGGATGCATCTGACTTGGTTTTCATCAAAAACTTTAATATTGCTTAGATTTCTAAGTGAATTTTCATTAATTATTAACTCTCTTTGAGTTTAACTGTTGAAGTTTAACTAAAATATAAACCAATATTGTTGAATCAATATCATTGAATCTATGTTATTGTCATAGATCTTATGCATCATTGGAACCTCATCAACAGAATGCTCACTCTAATGAACCACAAAAGCTCTAATTTTTAGAGGCAAATTTTCAAGGGTCATCCCTTAATAGAGCCTCTGATTTTATACTTGCACTTTTACTCAAAGCTTCACCAACTGAAGAAATGGGCTTGATAGTAAGGGATGTAGGACATACTTGGTTCACAGTTCAAAGTATGCATAAGCTTTTTGATGTGCAGGATGGACATTGATCAAAACTTCTTGAAGCTTTTTTTGTATAAGATGAAATATTGAAGTTGATTAAAGCACTTGTATGAAAGAAGATAGAGTTAGTATACCATTTTTAAGGAGTGCATCATTTACTTTTGAAAAGGTGTGTATAAAAACTTTTTGAAGTAACCTACTTTGTAGACTTCTTTGGAATGCATCGTCTCTTCATGGTCACTTATCAGTGCTAGGAGAATTTTGATCTGCATGTTCTTTGATATATTTTGTGTACATTATCATTCAAGTAT